ATAGATAGATAGATAGGGACAGTACGAGACAGATCGATAATATATACAACATAATATAATATATATAATATATATATATATATAATATATATTATATATATACTCATATATATGTATATATAATATATATATAAATTGTGTTTGTTTGTGTGTGGTTTGTGTGTACATTTCCATACATACATACCATATACATATATATATATATTATATATAATTATATATACTAACTATATGTATATAGTATTATATATATAATATATATGTGTATATATTATATATATATATATATATATATATATATATATATATTATATATATGTATACATATATAGTTGATTTATTAACCATATAATAACGAAATATCATGTGCGTCTCAATTATATAGGAATTTCGCATTACTACAGCCTGTTCAAAAGCAACCAGTCCAAAAAGAAAAAATCCAATAAGAACGCTACCTCCACATATGGAGTTCGGACTGTGAGCCTTATGATCTCCCAACCATTCTCCCCGCTAACGAGCTTCGCGCCTGCAGGAAAAGTGCGCATGCGCCGCTGACTGATTTTCCGAGCGCTCAGCCGGGTAATGGAGCGGAAGGGAAGGGGGCTTTAAAGGCCTTTGTGAACGTGGGAGACCCTGATTGTTTCTTGGCCTCTTGTGCGGGTGGACGTTAAGATCTTCATGAGACTACTATTGCTGCTGCTGCTCTTATTGAAAGCGGGAAGGTTTAAATATTAAAGAATGCGGTGGTTTTTGTGTTTATTGGTCCTCTTGGTGTTTCTACAAGATGTCTAGACTATTCTATAATGAGCGATACCGAAGTGTTTGGTTGAGAAATTGTTTGTACATAAAATTGTGTAAACAACCTGAAAGTGGGATAACACATGTGTTTACGTAATACATACACCTATTACTATCAACAACGATGGACAAAAAAAAATACATTTCATATATTTATGTAAACAACTACAAGTGAAACGTCATTGTATCACAGTAACATGCATAACAATGAATTTTAGGCAAGGCACACGCACCAAATACACACGAGATCTAAGAATTACAAAAGAAAATAGATTATGATTTTTGATGCTTCATAGCCATCCCATCGATGTCGCTGACCCTACTTTAGCTCACTGGATGACGCCCACAAAAGCATGGTGTCTTCTGGTTTTTGTCTTTGCCGTCTGCTTATTACAGACTGAAGAACCTTATGGTGAAGCGTACAGCTCCTTATGCATTTCAAAAGTGGATATGTGTTCAGGACCAAAGCATCCACTCTCCCTGGATGCGAAGGCCGCCCACGGCCTCCTCCCGTCCGCGCAGCAGTCTCCCTCATTTACGGAAGCCATGCGGAGTGTGGGCGCGGGAGGGCGGGGTGCTGCAAGGCGAGAGGATGAAGAGGGCGGGGAAGGAGTGGGCGGAAGGCCGAGGGCGGCACGGAGGGCGTGACGGAGTGGAAGGAACCGAGAAGCGTCGGCAAGCTCTTCGAGAAGGACATCTCGAGAGCCTGAGCTGCTTGGCTTCCCAGCTCGGCCTTCTCCCTGCCCAGGGTACCCCCCATGTGGTAGTCCAGCCCGCCCATGGGTGCCCGCTGTAGATGCGGCGAGGGAGGCTTTGCTCCCACCGGAGGCGAGCTGCGCCCTGTGCGTTCCTCCTGTTCGGCGCTGACGTCGTGTGCCCGCTGACCCAAGCCTCCGGACGCAAGCTGACGGACCTCGCTGCTGCTGTAACAGGTCATAGCAGACGTCGTTGGAGCGGCGGCGTCATGCCGGCCAGCGAGGGCGAGGAGACGGAAGCTTTGGGCGTGGGTGCGGGCGTGGGCGCGACAATATGGAGCCCCGAGGTAGTGACGGGCAGAGCCGAGGTAGTGGACGTGGGAGGGAAGGTGAAGAGAGGGGTGGTTGTGGGCGGAAGGATTGTGGGCGGCGTGAGGGGCACGGGCGGAAGAATGGTCCGGGGGATGGGCGTGAGGGTGGGCGCGGGAGTCTCGTGCTCCCTCTCGCGGTCCCGCTTGTGCTTGGTGCGGCGGTTCTGGTACCACACCTTCACCTGGAGAGGAGAGAGGGGGATGAGCTGCGGAACCTGCGTCGCGGCAAACCGAATTCTGACTTTCCTGTACAGCTTATAGGAATAGACGTGCACTTAACACACAGTCCATTGCTTATATTCTGCCATTTGATAATAGAACCTAAAATAATAAACATTTACCCTAAATGAAGATTTATGTGTGCCCGTATTAGACAAAAATACAAATCTATTTTCCCCAACCACCTCTCTCTCTCTCTCTCTCTCTCTCTCTCTCTCTCTCTTCTCTCTCTCTCTCTCTCTCTCTCTCTCTCTCTCTCTCTCTCCCTCTCTCCCTCTCTCCCTCTCTCCCTCTCTCTCTTCTCTCTCTCTCTCTCTCTCTCTCTCTCTCTCTCTTCTCTCTCTCTCTCTCTCTCTCTCTCTCTCTCCTCTCTCTCTCTCTCTCTCTCTCTCTCTCTCTCTCTCTCTCTCCTCTCTTCTCTCTCTCTCTCTCTCTTCTCCTCTCTCTCTCTCTCTCTCTCTCTCTCTCTCTCTCTCTCTCTCTCTTCTCTCTCTCTCTCTATATATATATATATAATATATATATATATATATATATATATATATATTTATATATATATATATATATATATGTATATATATGTATATATATAATATACATATATACACACACACACACACACACACACACACACACACACACACACACACACACACACACACACACACACACACACATATATATATATATATATATATATATATATATATATATATATATATATATACATATGTAAATTCGTCAATCTAACTCCCCAATCCTCCCCGCAACTCCCGTCACCGCCAGCCCCGCCCCCGCGACCACGGGCGCCCACCTGCGTCTCGGACAGGCCGAGTCTTGCTGCGAGGAGCGACCTCTCGCGCCCCACCAGGTACTGGTTGCGGCGGAACTCCCTCTCCAGGGAAGCCAACTGCTCGCTGCTGAACGTGGTCCTGGCGCGCTTCGGCCGGTCCAGGTCCAGGCCCTTCGGGAAGACCAGCTCCCTCACCTGCCCGTTGGCGTCTGCAGTGTGCAAAAAGTCAGATGTTTATCATGAGTTCCGTGTAAATTGCGTGCCCCGATATGTGTTCATGTTTGAGGTTAACGTTATTCTGAATGAATGAGACAAATAGGATCATCTTCGTATAACCACACACCATGTTATCAAATTCAAAATCTTTAAAATAATGCATTATCACTCCATATACACAAACATGGAATAGATATGTAGCAACTAAAACTAATGTCGACATATTGTTTAAAAACTGTACTCTATTCAGGTTTCAGACGCCATCTTTATCTTTTCAGCAAGGATTTATAATTACTTATGTTTACGCTTTGGTTTTTGTTGTTCGTGTCAGCAGCATGATCGCTTTTTCATATATTTGTTCATTACATTTATTACCCTCATTACCGGCGACATCATCATTCTTATCTGCATTATTTTCATTGTTATCATTATTATTGTTGTTACTGTTATTTTTATCATAATCATTATAATTACCATTACTATCATTATTGTTGTTGTTGTTGTTTTTTATCATCATTATCATTATTATCATCGTTATTTTTCATTATCATTATTATTATTATTATTATTATGATCATTATTATCATTACTATCATTATTATTATCACCATTATAATCATTATCATTATTATTGTTATTCTTTTCTATTAGTGTTATTGCTATCATTATTACTATAATCATTATCATTAACCTTAGCAATAATATTTTCATTATTATTTTTACATTATTATTACTAATATTTCTACATCATTATTACTGTCAATATTAATATTACTATCATCGTTCTTATTACTATCATCATTATTACTACTGTTTTATCATTATCATTAACATCATTTTTGTTTTTATCATTATCATTACTATTGCCATTAGTTTCATAATCATTACCATTACCATTAGTGTCATAATCATCATCATTAATTATGCTGTTATTAACAAATTGTTATCACTTTCCATTATGATTGATTATCGTTATCATTACCATCACTTTTATTATCATTATTGTTATAAATATTGACTGTTTTCATAATTTCCATTATTCTTTCCTGTATTTTAGCATCATAATTATAACTGCCATCTTCATTATCATAATTACCACGATAATTATCATCTTTTAAAAGGTATTGTGATATTAGTCTTAATAATATAAATAGCGATAACAATAATTGGCGGAGTAGTAATGTCAATGGCAATGTAAGTAGTAATGCCAGTATACAGTAGTATGGTAATAATTGATAATTGCTCATCACCTATTCGTTACTAATTGCATCATTGACCAAGTAAATGATCCCTTATGCTTATCCCATAATTCGACCATGTTAAACTACGTATGTTCATCAAATTCTCTCTGGCAACCTCACTCATCAGAGATTGCCGGATTCGCCACCAGGGGAGGGGCTCTGTGTTAGTGCGACCGGCCACCACTAGAGGACAGGGGAGGTGGTCTTATCAGCGGCATATCTATGTTCTAAGAGGAATGATAATCGTTGTCTATGTATTGAAAATGTTTGGTGAAAATGGCGGAGGGAGAAGGAAACGTCAGTTAGAAATTTTAAGGTGGGGATGCAGTTCTCATGCAAGAGAGACTAAGCATTTTTTTTCTAAGACTTCACGACTGGTTTCTCTTAATTGCAT